GGAGAGCCATTTTCCAGAACACAAAGTGAGGTGCTGTGTTTTAACCTTTACTGTTTTCCAAGGCCACGGGGTCTGGAAAGTTCAACTATTAGTTTCCATTAAAATACGCACAGACATACAAACATATGATCAAATAAGGCTTAACAATATCACCTCAACATCATGAACACACTTGATATCATTAACAGTTCATTAATCTCATCTACTATCCAGTCTATATCAAATTCCCTCACAATAGCCAGCAACACCTATACTTTTGTGTTTTTTGCAGCTGGTTGTCCCCTCTCATAAGCCTCTTTTCATCTATAATGATCTCCCCATCCAGCCCTTTGCTGAACAGCAGGTCACACTGTTGTATAGACCAGTGGTCGGCAAACTGAGGCTCTTGAGCCACATGCGGCTCTTTGGCCCCTTGAGTTTTTAGCAAAGGCCTCCTGAGGAGGACCCTAATTAAATTAATAACAATGTACCTACCTATATGGTTTAAGTTTAAAACATTTGGCTCTCACAAGCAATTTCAATAGTTGTACTGTTGATATTTGGCTCTGTTGACTAATGGGTTTGCTGACCACTGGTATAGACTATGGCTCATGGACCAGATGTGGGGGCCTGTGAGAAATGCAGAGTCTCAAACTACCCCATCCCCGTCCTGCCCTGCCCCGCTGAATCAGGACCCACAGCTTGCTGAGTCCCCAGGTGAGTGTCTGAGCAGCGCAGCTGTAATTTGGGTAAGACACCCTTCCCTGACAGCTGGGACTCCTGCAACCCCACAGCATGTGCCAAAGCTCTGTGTATTGGCTTCGGGTTTAAGGACATGACAAGGAGACCCAGCATGGCGCTGGGCACCCTCTGCCTCACATTGGGAGGCACTCGGTGTCCAGTGGGCTAGTGCAGTGATCTGCAATGGGCTGGCAAGTTCAGACGTCACCTTTGTCCCTCCATCACCCGCAGGTCTATGGCTGTCCCCTCGATGTCCGTTAGGCTTGGAGGGAGGGGTACTCTAGCAGCTCTTATAACCACGTAATGAGAACAGGAATTCCTGCAGGAAGACGGACATCCGTTGGGGGGTGACAGCAGACTGGACTGCGAGTGGCCCTTGAGGCCCCCAGCCCCGCTCAGTGCAGCCTCCCGGAGGAGCTGGATCCCCTGTGCAGGCATTCTCATACACCGGACTGACCTGTCCTCCCCTCCCCCTGGTGTCCAGAAGGTTTAGTGCTGCAAAGCGGGTTCCCCACACAGCTTTACCAGGGGCACCAGGAAGGGATGCTCTGGGGAGACGAGGCGCTGGCTGCCTCTGCACAGGCTGCATGCTCCCTCCTGGGGATGTGTGTACAGTTTGGTTTCCTTACTCCAACATGATCTATCCATCACAGACCATCACAGCTGCCCGCTTGGAGGAAAGGGAGGCGGCCAGGAAGGTGCCCAGGACACTTGGAGCACTGGGCATGGGGAGGCAGTGGAGGTGCACTGAGGACACGGGGAGCTTGGGGAGATGTGCAAGGGGAATTAGGGCACGCCGGTGGGGTTCCAGCAGCCCCCAGACCTCCCTTCTAGCTTCTTCGCCCTCTGGCTGCTCACTGCCCTTGCCTGCCCTGGGCCCTGCCTGGTCCTTTCTATCTCTCCTCCCACTCTTCCTGGAGGGCAGCCCCACTCCTATCTGACTTATTCACGACAGAGAAAGTTCACACTCCGGTTTTATCTGGCTCCAAAATACTCTCGATCTGGGGCACTGCCATCACACTCAAGTTTAAGGCATGTGCCCCGTGGTCTGTGTTTCCTGTGGGGGCACTGGAGCCGCAGGACCAAGGCTGCTCTTCAATGCGGCTGTGAAGAAGTGGGGAGGAGGGGGGTGAGGCTGGAACCCTGATGCCCATCCGGAGAAGGGCAGGAGTTTACGGAAAAGAGGGGCCTTGAGGAAGTCAGAAGTGTTCGCCAGGACTGCCAGGCGGAATGGAAGTAGCGGAGCTGTGCCCGCAGGGCTGGAAGCTCAGTGGTTTGGGGGCATAGGATGCTGAGTGCAAGAGAAGTGTCCGATGTACTCACAGAAACCGCGATAGGAAGTAGGAAATGGAGTTTGGGCTCCATAGGGGAGAGATGTTCAGTCAATCCCATGGACCCGTAGCAGAATGACAGGAAGGGAACAGGGCAAACACTGTAGGGTGGGGAGCAGGGGGAGGTCGCTGTGTGCCTGTTCTGTTTTTTGTTTTTGCTTTTTTTTTTTTTTTTTTTAATATATTTTATTGATTTTTTTTTTTTTTTTTTTTTTTTTTTTTTTTTTTTTTACAGAGAGGAAGAGAGAGGGATAGAGAATTAGAAACATCGATGAGAAAGAATCATCGATCAGCTGCCGCTTGCACACCCCTTACTGGGGATGTGCCCGCAACCAACGTACATGCCCTTGACCAGAATCAAACCTGGGACCTTTCAGTCCGCAGGCCGACGCTCTTTCCACTGAGCCAAACCAGTTTCGGCTCTGTTCTGTTTTGTAAGACCCAGCAGAGGTAAAGTAGTGTGGGCCGAGGGGACCCCCCCTCCCCATGATTGTGTAAGGATAAGTCACCCTATCTGTTGTACTTGGGCATGCGGAAGAAAGAACCATTGTTGGACATGTGCCAAGGAGGTCAGAGCGCGGATAAGAGGTCTTGGAAAGAAGCGACACTTTGTCTTTCAAAAGCGAAACGCTGTGAATGGAGCTGAAAGCCTGGAGAATTTTCCCAGAACCAGCACACTGGGAGGGTTGGCAGAATTGGCATTTGGGGTTATGCTTACTCAAGCACTGACTATCCTATAGTCTTGCAGGATTTGGGGAGGCTTAACAATGGATAGACTGATGTCCCCAGTTTAGAGGCATATGTTGTGTTCCACAAATTACTTCCCAGGCTCCTGTTCAGCCCTCGGACAGAACAGAGTAAAATTCCCAGCCTGGTTCACAGAAGCCCTGGCAGTGGAAAGCTGGGGATGTTATTTCTACCGCACATGGCAGTGGCTTATGGGTACTTTTCTGCAGAAAGACTTTTCCTCAAAGGTGGGCTGGCCATGGTGAAGGGGGTTCCTTTGGCACAGGAAGGTGGTCAGGGAACATTTTCAGAGAAGCTGTCTTCCCCATCTGCCTGATTGCTTACTGTTCTGAGACCACTATTAAAAAAAAAAAAAATATATATATATATATATATATATATATATATATATCCCCCATGGATTTTTTTACAGAGAGGAAGGGAGAAGGATAGAGAGCCAGAACATAGATCAGCTGCCTCCTGCACACCCCCGACAGGGAATGTTTCCACAACCAAGGTACATGCCCTTGACCGGAATCGAACCTGGGACCCTTCAGTCCTCAGGCCGATGCTCTATCCACTGAGCCAAGCCTGTTTCAGCTTGAGACCACTATTTTTTTAAAAAAGGACTTTGGGGATGTGGAGTACTAAGGCTACAAAGGTACCTTAAATCTCAAAGCATTTTAAATTTCCTTTTCTCTCACCACATTTCCGATGCAAAATTCAAAACACACGGTTCAGGCAAATTTTCGGCGGCCTCCCAGCTGGGGAAAGCAGTGCAGGCCTAGTTTGCCTGCCATAATGCTGCAACCTCAGTGCTACTGTGAGCCGGACCAACAGGGATGCAATTCAGAAGCAGGGCAGCCCTGGATCTCCAGCCAGGAGTGGCTGACCCACTGTTTTTGTTTGGTGGTGCTTTCCTTCAGCAGTGAAAGGCAGATGAAGCTGCGTGATCAATTGCTGTTCGTTTTGGGAGAGTCCTGGGAGTTGACTCATGCTCCCAAGATTCTGGACACAGCGTCAGGGAGGCCGCAGCCTGGGGAGTGGTGCAGATGCCTGAGCTGTTCACTCCCAGTCACCCCAGATGGCAATCCCGCAGGGCGCCGCCCAGCCCTCCAACTGCTGGGCTGTAACCGCCAAGGCCAGTCCGTTCTGACACCTCAGCTCCTGGCATTTTCCTGGGCCCGGCTCGCTGCAGCTGGGCTTGGGTGGAGAAGGGAGGCAGGAAGGAACAGGGCGGGTTCTCAGGTCTGAGCTGTAGGTGGTGGAGATCAAATCAAAGAAAGAAAGAAAGAAAGAAAGAAAGAAAGAAAGAAAGAAAGAAAGAAAGAAAGAAAGAAAGAAAGAAAGAAAGAAAGAAGGAAAGAAAGAAAGAAAGAGACTTGCTTTTTCTGCATAAAGCAAATAAAAAAGGTCTCCCAAGTCAGAACTCTGGCCTTTGGAACTGCTGGGCACTGAGGCTTGAAGGGATCTCGGAAGAATCCAACCTGGATGATCTTCTCCAGCCTGGACTCGACCGGCTCGACACTCCCCACCTCACCCCCCATTCCCCACCCCTTAGCCTGAGGCTGGCGCCTGCCCCCATCCCGCCCAGCGCCACCCGCATCCCGCCCGCCAGGTCGCCCCCTATCTCGCTCCTCCGGTCTCCTCATCCGGTTCCTGCACCCCCACCCGATCACCGGTTTACCCCCGCCCACTCCCATTTCCACCCCATCCCCTCCTGCACCCGGTCCCCGTTCCCTGGCTCCCAGGCCTCCTCCCTGTAGGCCGGAGGGAGTCGTGGGCAGGGCCACCCCCTCCCACGCTCCCGGCACCAGCGGCCTCGGACTACGTTGCGCCCTCCGCCCTCCGCAGGGGCCGCGGGAGCAGGTGCAACCCCGGCGCCGCCCTCTCCGCGCGCTCTGAGGCCCCGCCCGCCCCTCCGCTCCCTTTTCCCGGGCCCCGCCTCATTCCCACGCCGTTCACCGTCCCGCTCACCCCCGCACTATCTCTCTCCCCCCTTTGCAGCACCACCCTCCCCTCCCCGCCCCCCCTCCTCTGGCCCCGCCCCTGCACCGCCTCTCCCCTCCCCCACCCAGCACCGCCCCCCGCCGCCGGCCCCCCGCACCGCCCCCTGCGCCCGCGGCGGTGGCAGCGCTCCGATCGCCCCGAGCCCCGGGAGGCGGACCGGGCACCCCCACCGCCGAGGCCTGGCGGCTCCGGGCGGCCGCCCGCCTCCTCCGCATGGAGCCCTCGGAGCGCGAGCGGGCGGCGCGGGAGCGGGTCCCCAGGTGGGCGCGCAGGGCCGGGGTGCCCCCCGCCCAGCCCGGGGGTGCGAGGGTGGCGGTGCGGGGTTTGGAGGTGTGGGAATGGGACGTGGCGGGATGTGGGGGTGCGGGGAGTGGGGCGGGACGGCGGCGGGGGAGCTGGCCCTGGCGCGTCCCTCGGCAGGGGCGCCTTCCTGCTGCTCTCCGCCGGAGACCCCCTTCTGCACCGGGAGGGGAGGAGGGGGGGTCCGGGGCGCGCCCCCCCCTCCCCCCGCGGGTCGGTCACGGCTCCGGACTGCCCGCCCTCCACGCCAGGGCCCGCGGGCGGGGGGTGGGACTCCGGGACCGGACCCTGGGCAGGGCACGGCTCCCTGAGCCACCGGTGCCACGTGCTTGGGGATCTGGATTCTGGGCTCCAGGGTGTTTCTTTTTGTACTGCAGGATTGACCCGTACGGGTTTGAAAGGCCCGAAGATTTTGATTATGCAGCTTATGAGGAATTCTTTTCCACCTACCTGGTGATCCTCACTAAAAGAGCGATCAAATGGTCCAAACTTCTAAAGGGAAGCGGCAGTGTCCAGAAAAGTATGAGAGGTGAGCTTGGAACTTGGTCCACACACACACACACTCCACAAACAGGTCACTGGCTGATAGATGCTCCGGGGGAGGGGAGGGAAGAGGGGTTCGGGATTCCTTAGACACCCCTAATCCAGGGAGGCTGGCTGCTGGAGTCTGGCGTCTTTCCCGGGGATCCAGAGATTGGGAAGTGGCAAGGCAGGTGTGTGTCCCACGGAGGCTTCATGTGGAGGCTCAAAGCTTTGAATTCAGCTAGAAGTTGCACTTTTAAGGTACAGGGTGTTCTTTCTTTCTTTCCAGAAGAAAATTGGCTTTCTGCTTCTCAAAATGAGATTGGCCAGGGCTCTCCACTTGTCCATTCTTGTGACCAAGCCCTCCCTGCCTGCCTTCCTGGACCTCTCCTCACCTGTGCTGCCCCAGCCCCTTCCCTTCCTCTCTCTAGTCGGGGGGGCCACCTCCCTGAGTCCTCCTCTCTGTTCCTCCAGCGCACCCCTGGCTAGCACCTGCCTCTCCTCAGGGTCGTCCCCAGCCCCTCCCATCTTTTTCAGGCGCTGATCCGAATGCCACTTCCATGAAACCTTCCAGAGCTCCTGTCTGGAATGGCACTCCCGCATCACACCACGCACACACACACTTTTCACCCCTTTCCAGCTCCTTTTCTCCTCGCCGTCTAATGCAGTGCGGATCTTAGTTATCTTATTATTTGTTTCCCTTGCTGGACTCAAAGATCCCTCTCTGCTGGCAGGGATTGGTCAGGGTAATTGCTTCAGTGTTTTAATGAATGAATGAATGAATGAATGAGTGAGTGAGTGAATGAATGAATGAATGACGTGTTTAGGTGGTAACTGGTGGGCAGGTGGAAGGGTATTGGTAGGAGTGTGCCCCTTGGTAAGAGTTAAGAGAAGTCAGATAAATGGTGCACAGAGGTGTGTAGGGGTTTCCTGAAATAGGACATTGATGACAATTAAGGTTGAGGACAGAGGTCAGAGGCAAGGGTCAGAACTTGTGACTAGAGTATTAGGGGTACACTTAGCAAGGGCCAGAGATGGAGCCAGGGGACCCTGCATGTAGCCACACAGCACCTGAACCTGGCAGACAGAAGCCAACTGTAAAAGGAATTATGAGCAAGAGGATGGAGCGATCAATTTTTGCTTTTAAAGCAGTTAGTGCATCTGCCCAAAGTGGGCCCAGCACCCAGTAGGTGCCTGGAAAATATTTGTGGAATTGACAGAGGGCTGGGTGTAGCAGGTGGGTCTGGGAACTTGTCCGGTAGGATAGGGGTAGGGGTAGGGAACTTGTCCCTACACCTGGGACAGCCCTCCCTCCTCCAGGCTATTACTGATGGGGGTGCTTAGTGAAAACTCAGGTAGCTCTCCACCAGAATGGCTCATTTTTTTTTTTTTTTTTTTTTTTTTTTTTTTTTTTTTTTGTGCATCATCCTGTGCTCTAAAAGGCTTGATTTCTAGTCATACCTGAGTTTCGGGTTCAATCTCTGGTTGGGGCACATATGGAAGGCAACCAATTTCTGTTTCTCTGTCACATCCATGGTTCTCTCCCTCTCTCCCTCCCTCCTCTCTCTAAGCATGTGCTCAGGTGAGGATTAAAAAAACAACAACAACAACTCAGGGAAACTATCATTTCATAAAACTAGCTGGAAGGGACCTTAAAGTTGGTCCTTAGCTGCTTTACAGAAAGCTAATAATCTCCAATGTGCCATGTACCATCCTACATGAAACATGCCATCCCTGCATGGGCCCTGTGTGTTAATGTGTTTCCAGCAGCAATCTGCCTTTGGTGTTTGTTTTTTTTTTTTTTTTAAATCCTCACCTGAGGATATTTTTCCCATTGGTTTTTAGAGAGAATGGAAGGGTGGATAAGGAGAGCCAGAGCGAGCGAGAACGAGAGGGAGATCAATGTGAGAGGCACATCCACTGGTTTGTCTCTCGAATGCGCCCTAGGGAACACACCTGCAACCCTCGTACATGCCCTTGACCCTTGACTGGGAATCAAACCCCCAACCTTTCGGTGAGAAGGCTGACGCTCTACCACTGAGCTACACTGGCCAGGACTGCCTTTAATGTTTCCTTTTGATTTGTTTTTAAAAGTTGAATAGTCTTTTTGTTTTAAAAAGTTACCTACAAGTATTCAAAAATAGACAATTTACGTGCATGATCAATTGTCTTCACCATACTAAAAGATGAAAAGTGATACTAAGTTTCTCTCCTGCCCCAGGCTCCGGTCTCCAGTAAAAGTGACTGATCATTGCCCAGACCAGTTTGGCTCAATGGATAGAGTGTCAGCTTGGGGACTGAAGGGTCCCGGGTTAGATTCCGGTCAAGGGCATGTACCTTGGTTGTGGGCATATCCCCAGTGGGGGGTGTGCAAGAGGCAGCTGATCGATGACACTCTCTCATCGATGTTTCTGACTCTCTCTCTCCCTTCCTCTCTGTACAAAATCAATAAAATAAAATAAAATAAAATAAAATAAAATAAAATAAAATAAAATAAAATAAAATAAAATAGATTAAACTAGATTCCTTAAAAAAAAAAAAAAAGTGACTGATTATGGTGACTGTCCTTTCGTCTCCCCCAGGAGCAGGATGTGTACACACACGAGGGTGTGCATGTACACATGTGTATAAATGCAGCAGCCACACCCATAGGGCTGCAGTTTGCTTTTATTACAGGAGAAAGCCTCCTGTCCAACATGGTTAACTCTGGGCTACTAAGCCAGAGGCCAGTTAAAGCAGAGAATCACAGCAAGCTGATGTTTGTCACTCGATTCTGTCCTATTATCTGTCCTTTGAATAGGGTGGGTCCACTAATTTAAATTTTGTATCACACTCTCAATTCATTGTCTCTATTTTCCAGTATTGGTTTTTGGTTGTTGTGTGGTGTGTGTTTTTTCCACGTAGAGCAGGAATTAAAGACCTGAATACAGACTCCTCCCAGATGTTGATTCTTTTCCCCATCCTACAGTTATCTTAAACTGGATTCAAAGGTGCAATTTTGCTTTTGCTTTGGGTACCTGTCTCTTTCAACTCTTTCTAAAAATTTAGCTTGGTTTTATACTGAAATAATTCTTGCTTGCTTGCTCTAATATTTCTAAGATGTATGTCATATCAGTAAAACTGTGTGATTATGGTGACAAGTACCTTTACAGAAAGCTAGCAGGCTTGGATAACAGGTTTAGGAACAAATATGTTTGATTCCTGATGAGCCCTCAGCCGAGGGGATGGGATTCAGTGTCAAGGTGAACTGGAGAGCCTGGTGGCCTGATGTGGTTTCAGGGAATGCACAGGTTAGTTCAGCGAGAGCGTGAGGTGTGGCCTCACATGGGTCTGTGATCCAGGATGTTGCCACTGGAGCTTGGTGCAGTTTCCGGGTGTGACAAGGAAGCAGTGAGAGCATGGGCTGTCAGGCATAAACACAGCTGGACAAGTTATTCCAGAATTGGGAACCCAGTGTTCTCCTGTCCTGCATCCTAGGCTGACTATCGTGTCGTCAGGTACGTGACATCTCGAGGAAGAGATGATATGGAAGGGATGTTGGTCCTGCAGTGACCAAGCACCTCGGTCTTGGAGCCTCATCCTTGAATATCAGCTAACACACCTTGAAATCTCCCTTTGATCCTGTGTTTGTTTGTTTGTTTGTTTGTTTGTTTGTTTGTTTTCCACCTTATCTTGCTTTTGTTGTTCTATATATTTTTTTCTCTTCGGGGGAGGATTTTCATCTGTATTGCCTATCTTAAAATCTTCAGTAACACAAGTATCTATAAATCTTGACATTCAGCCTATGTTCAGGTACTTAGGCTGCTTGATTAGGCTACTTGTGGATATGATGAATATTTTTCTTTTTCTTTGCCTACAGCAAATATCCACTAGGGGCCCTTAAGACAGCTTACTCTTCCTCCCACAACCTTAAAGACCGAGCTCAACAAGCTTAGCCCTGTCTCGACCTAGCTCCTATCCTTACTCCCGTTCATGTCCCATCTTGATGTGAAGGGACTCCACAAGCTGAAAAGCCTCCTGGCCACTTGCTTCTTCTGGATCTCCTTCCCAGTGGCTTAGAAAATCGGCACCATATAAATTAGAAATAAATTACAAAGGCACATTTTCAAAGACAAATGCCCCAAACTGGAGATTTGCTTAACTTTGTTGGGGCAGACATCTGGAGGTTCATTCTCTGGGGTCCGGCTTCTTCTTTTCCCTACTGTTTTTCCTTTATATTTTATTCTCCTGCAACTGTGCACGCTGACCTGTGGGAGAGCCCTGCCCTTGGGAAAGGGTTTCTGAAGGCAAGGAAACTATTTTCATTCTTTCCTGAAGACACATTGTAAGTTCAGATAGCAAACATCAAAAAGTAGCAAAGACATGTGTTCTCCAACTTGAGCTCTGATGGTATTTCAGGTACGAGGCTGAGTGCTTGACTTATATTTTATAGATGAGAAAGCTGAGACTTGCTCAAGGTTTGAGGCTAGGACGTCACAGGAGAGCCAGTGTGTAACTCCATAGGGAGGGGGTTAGCCTTTTTGTACTTTCCCTTTCTAAATTGCTTTTCTTTTTTTGCTATTTAAATCTTTATTGTTGAAAGTATTACACATGTCATCTCCCCCCCCCCTCCGCCCCCATTGCCCCTTCTTAAATTACTTTTTAGAATTTGTAGTGAAATTCACTCTTATTGGTATACTAGGCACCTGTTGCGGGAATATTCCTTCAAGACTTTCCGGCAGGCTTCCCTCCCACCACTGCCACCTCTCCTGCCCGCCCCACCTGCCACTACCTCCATTGTCTCTGCAGCTGCTGCACACCTCGCCTTGCCCTGCCCTGCCCTGCCCTGCCTATACTGCCAGTGCTTTCCCTCCAGCAGCTGCAGTGCCTTGCTTTCCACTTTCCCTCCCTCTTCCTTCTATGCTGTCTTCAGCCTTCACTCCTCCCTCCCTCCATGTATGCAAATTAACCACCATCTTTGTTGGGTTAATTTGCATACTCACTCTGATTAGCTGGTGGGTGTGGCTTGTGTGGTGGAGTGATGGTTAATTTGCGTATTACTCTATTATTAGGTTAGATAGTTTTATGAATTTAGACAAACCTATAGAGTCACATAACCTCACCACAGGCAAGAGTCCATCACCTTCAGAATTGTCTTTTGCTGCCTGTTTGTGGGCAGTCCCCGCCCCCACCTCAGGACAACCACTGATCTCTTCAGCCATCAGGAAATGCGCTATAAGTGGGATCATGCACCTTGTGGCCTTTTGAATCTAGCTTCTTTCAGTTAACATAATGTGTTTGAGCCAAAACCGGTTTGGCTCGGTGGATAGAGCATCGGCCTGCAGACTGAAGGGTTCCAGGTTCGATTCCAGTCAAAGGCATGTGCCTTGTTTACTGGCATATCCCTGGTGGGGATTGTGCAAGAGGCAGCTGATCGATGTTTCTCTCTCATCGATGTTTCTAAGTCTCTATCCCTCTCTCTTCCTCTCTGTAAAAAATCAATTTATAAATATTCACTTACAGTGTTTTGCATGAAGTTAAGCTTTCATTTCTCTTGGGGGAAATACCTAGTCATATGGTAACGGTATGTTTAATTCGTAAGAAATTTCAAACTGTCTCTCCAAAGTGGCTGTACAATTTTGCTTTCCTACCATCAATGGATGAGATTTTCTGCTGTGTCACATTCTTGCCAGCACTTAATATTTTGGGATTTTTTATTTTGGACATTTATTGTAGGAAAGACTATTCTGTATCTGCATTGAAGTGCCTTTGCAACTTTGTGTCAAAAAGCAATTGGTTCTATTTATGTGGGTCTGTTTCTAATTTTGTTCTTTTCTTCTTAAAAACAATATATTTTTATTGATTTTGGAGAGGAAGGGAGAGGGAGAGAGAGGTAGAAACAGGAATGATGAGAGGGAATCATTGATTGGCTGCCTCCTGCACGCCCCCCACTGGAGATCAAGCTTGCAACACAGGCCTGTGCACTGCCCAGGAATCGAACTGTGACCTCCTGGTTCATTGTTTGATGCTCAACCATTGAGTCACATCGACTGGGCAGTGAATATTGATTATTGAAATCACTCATGGTTTTTGGCTTATTTTCCTATATGTTTCTACGGTCACTAGAAAACTACGGATTATCTTTTCACATATTCATTTTCAATAAAAAAAATATTCCTCCCAAATGCTGTAGTTCTTAACTTAGAGAGATTAGCTGCAAAACAAGGCAAAGGCATCTGCAGCCGCAGCCCGCGGCTCCCAGCCCCGTGCTGCACACAAGCTCACGGCTCCGGGACCTGCTGTCTCCTGTTTTCAGTTTGTCCTCTCACTGGTTTCTGCCTCCAGAGGACTTTCCGGAACACCTGTGTGACCTCGGTCCCTACTCCTGCACCATCACCTCCAGGGAAGGACAGTGCATCTGAGCCTGGTGCACGAAGGCCTCAGGGTCTGTCCCTGCCCACAGCTGACCCTCCAGCCCACGTGGCTCTGCTTGTAGCTCCCAGGACCAGCGGAGAGTCCCTTCCTGTCTCATGTCCCTTCACTTGGCTTGGCTTCTGTCCCTTCAGTTTTTCTGACATTTCCTCCCCGCTGCACTGCCTGGGTCGCAGTGACTATGTCTGGTCCACATTGCTGAGCAGGGGATCGAGGCTGGGCCTGTGGCTAACCCATCTCTACATCTGGGATCTGGCACGGTGTGTGTGGCAGGAGGCGAGGGAGGACCAGTGGGTGGACTTCGAAGCCCCTGTCTGGACAGTGAAGAAGAAGTATATGGGGTTATTGCAGGCTCCCACTTGGTTGGGCTCAGTTTGGGAGAGAGCAGGAACCTAGAATGAGTGTATGTACCAGTTTCAGGGGTGATGTATGGAGTTTTGCATCTTTTTAATGTTTGATTGAAGGAGACAATTGTGAGCTAAAGGCACTGAAATTAGTGCCATTTGCTCAAAGGGCCCTCTAGAAGGTTCTGACCTTGGGCCATGTCTGTCTGTCCTAACACGGTCCCTCCTCTCGGTTTCAGTGAAGCGCTATATCCGGAAAGGGGTTCCCCTCGAGCACAGGGCCCGAGTCTGGATGGGGGTGAGCGGAGCCCAGGCCCAGATGGAGAGGAACCCTGGCTACTACCACCAGCTTCTGCAGGGAGAGAGGAACAACACCCTGGAGGAGGCCATCAGGACAGGTGAGCATGGCCTCCCTCCCGGGGGCCTGGCGCCCAGGCAGAAGGAGGAGGAGGGGCGGGAACCATCCCCAAACTGGGTTCGTACTCAGTCTTTGAAGTCGTGATGTTGACAAAGAAACAAACCTGCTTAAAGATGCACCAACTGATTCCAGTTTGAAATTTTATTTTTCTTAAAGGAAAATCAAAACTTAAGTGTTCATGAGGGGAAAACAATGTCTTTTTATGTATGATTTCAGAGAGGAAGGGAGTGGGGAAGAGAGAGAGATAGAAAAGCATCAATGATGAGAGAGAATTGTTATTGATCAGCTGCCTCCTGCTTGCCCCGATTTTGGGGATCGAGCCCGAAACCTGGGCATATGCCCTGACCGGGAATTGAACTGCGACCTCCTGGTTCATAGGCTGACATTCAACCACTGAGCCACACTGGCCTGGTGAGAAGAATGTCTTTAATTTATTCAGCAAATATTTGAGTGCCCACCTAGCTAGTGAGGAAAATGACCATGGAAAGACCAGACTTCTTCCATGAAGAAGCCCTTCGGGAGAATGAGAAGGGCACTAAGCAAGCAGTCATAATACAGTAGGTAACGAGGGATTTGTGCCTGCTGCACATGGGACTTACAGCTACACATGTATCTTAAAGCCACACACCAGAGTTTTCTTTCTTTGTGTCAAACTCTTAAGAATTGTCTAGGGATGCTGGTATTTTGGGCCTCTGATCTCTTTTTATTTTATTTTATTTCTTTATTGATTAAGGTATCACATATTTGTCCTCAACCCCCCATTCCAATCCCCCACCCCTCCTCACTCATGCCCCCCCCCCCCCTGTTGTCCTTGACCATTGGTTAGGCTCATATATATGCACACAAGTCCTTTGGTTGATCTCTCCCTTTTATCCCCACCTCCCTCTGAGGTCCAACAGTCTGACCCTTGGCTCCTTATCTCTGGGTCTGTTCTTGTTCATCGGTCTATGTTGTTCACCATTTCCCCTAGATGAGTGAGTTCTGATCTCTTTTTCCTCCACTTTCCTCATAGATACATAGGCTTTCTAGCTCTTAAAAGTTCAAAGTTCTCAAAAACAAAGTTTAACCTACATTGGATAATTAGATTTTGAGGAAATACACCTGCCATTCTGATTTTAACAGTTTTGGGGAAATAAATATGTAAACACAAATAGTTCATTTAAAAAATTCAATTGCTTTCCGTGCTGGGAGGTTATCACACTGACTTGTGACGGTGAGAGAGTGGTGTGTCCCCAACATAAGGAATGGGTCCTTCAGTCCTCAGGGACTCATCTGTGCAGGGTTGGAACCAGTGGGGAGAGCTGGGGGTGCCGAACCCTCTGGTTGCATCCTGATTGCACAGCAAACTGGGGTCAAAGGGCTCAGAACAGAAGCGGTTGCTGGCTTTGCAGGCACAGCCTAGAGTATCACTCAGCAGGGCCAGAAATGCTGAATCAGGTTGGGAGGTCCAAGGCAGGCTGAGCATAGTAAACAAAATAAAGTGTTGCTATTTGTTTGACAAATGAATTTATTTTTTATTTTTTATTTTTTAAAATATATTTTATTGATTTTTCACAGAGAGGAAGAGAGAGGGATAGAGTTAGAAACGTCGATGAGAGCCGGGACTGGTTTGGCTCAATGGATAGAGGGTCGGCTTGGGGACTGAAAGGTCCCAGGTTCGATTCTGGTCAAGGGCATGTACCTTGGTTGCAGGCATATCCCCAGTGGGGGGTGTGCAAGAGGCAGCTGATCGATGACTCTCTCTCATCGATGTTTCTGACTCTCTATCTCTCTCCCTTCCTCTCTGTACAAAATCAATAAAATATATTTAAAAAAGAAAAAGAAAAAAGAAATGTCGATGAGAGAGAAACATCGACCAGCTGCCTCTTGCACACCCCCTACTGGGGATGTGCCCGCAACCAAGGTACATGCCCTTGACCGGAATCGAACCCAAGACCTTTCAGTCCACAGGCTGACGCTCTATCCACTGAGCCAAACCAGTCCCGGCTGACAAATGAATTTAGAGGTTCTATGTAGTGCTGGTATTTTTGGATAGATTTTTTTTTTATTGTGGTAAAATATACATAATATAAAATTTACCATTTTATCTTGCCAAACTGAAATTCTGTTCCCATTAAACACTAACTTCCTGTACCTGCAGTCCCTAGTACCTACCATTCTACTTTCTGTCTCTAGGAATTTGATGACTCTTAAGTGTAACCGGACAATCCATGGGTCTAGGCTGCCTGTCGCTACTTGAGCCGGTTAAGCAGAGACAGGGTTGAGTCATAGGTGAGCATTTATTCCAAAATGCCCACTGTATGGGAGAGCAGCAAAAATCTGCTCAGCACCCCACCGTAAGCCAGCTGTTTATATTGAGCAGGACAAAGATTACATGGTGACGTAAGAAAAAGTGTATGCCAACTGGGCAGTTTTCATGTAAATAGGGCTGGAGATCTGCAAAAGCCTGCAGGTATGCAAAGGCTGGGGGGTCTTCAAAGGGCTGGCGGCTCTGGTTTCTGCAACAAGGTCGTTCATCTTTCCATGAAAATAGGCAGCTCCCGAGACCGGTTTGGCTTATTGGCTAGAGCATCGGCCTGCAGACTGAAAGGTCCCAGGTTCGATTCCGGTCAAAGGCATATACCTTGGTTGTGGGCACATCCCCAGTAGGGGTGTGCAGGAGGCAGCTGATCGATGATTCTATCTCATCGATGTTTCTAACTCTCTATCTCTCTCCCTTCCTCTCTGTAAAAAATCAATAAAATATATTAAAAAAAAGAAAGAAAGAAAGAAGGAAGGAAGGAAGGAAGGAAGGAAGGAAGGAAGGAAGGAAGGAAGGAAGGAAGGAAAGAAGGAAGGAAGGAAGGAAGGAAGGAAGGAAGGAAGGAAGGAAGGAAGGAAGGAAGGAAGGAAAGAAAGAAAAAAGAAAGAAAGAAGGAAAGAAAGAAAGAAAGAAGGAAAGAAAGAAGGAAAGAAAGGAAGGAAGGAAGGAAGGAAGGAAGGAAGGAAGGAGGAAGGAAGGAAGGAAGGAAGGAAGGAAGGAAGGAGGAAGGAAGGAAGGAAGGAAGGAAGGAAGGAGGAAGGAAGGAAGGAAGGAAGGAAGGAAGGAAGGAAGGAAGGAAGGAAGGAAGGAAGGAAATACGCAGCTCCTGGATGGGGAGCATGGGCCACATTTCCAGGTGAGCTTCCGGGCCCCGCATGCAACTCCCAGTCAGGGTAGAATGTGCCTTCTTTTTTTCTTTTTTCTTTTTTTAAGCCAGAGATGCAGTTGTTTCTTTATTTTTTTTTAAATATATTATTGATTTTTTACAGAGAGGAAAAGAGAGAGGGGTAGAGAGTCAGAAACATCGATGAGAAAGAATCATCAGTCAGCTGCCTCTTGCACACACACACACACACACACACACACATACACCCACTCACACACACACCCCGCCACTGGGGATGTGCCTGCAACCTAGGTACATGCCCTTGACCAGAATCGAACCCAGGACCCTTCAGTCCGCAGGACTATGCTCTGTCCACTGAGCCAAACCAGTATCGGCAAGAATGTGCTTTTCTTAAACAGAACAAAACAATCACAGTTAACAGAGCATGGTTAATATTTCTCACAATGATAGCTGGTCCCCACTATTCTATTTCTGACCTTATCGTAAGTACCTTTTATAAGTGGAATAATCCAGTATTTGTCTTTTTGTAACTGATTTATTTCACTGAGCATAATGTCCTCAAGATTCACCCAGGTTATAGCATGTGTAGAATTTCCTTCCTTTCATTGTATGTATAGACAGTTTTGTTTAAAATTCATCCATTTGATGGACAGTAAGGCTGTTTCCATCTCTTGGCTATTGTGAATAATGTTGTTATGAACATGGGTGTGCAAATATCTCTTCGAAACCTTACTTTCAGTTATTTTGGGTTTATTTCCAGAAGTGGAATTGCTGGATCACATGGTAATTCTGTGTCTTTTTTTTTTTTTTTTTTTTTTTTTTAGCAATCTGCACAAAGTTTTATTTTTTTTAAATATATTTTATTGATTTTTAACAGAGAGAGAAAGGGAGAGAGATAGAGAGCTAGAAACGTCAATGAGAGAGAAACATCGACCAGCTGCCTCCTGCACACCCCCTACAGGGGATGTGCCCGCAACCAAGGTACATACTGTTGACCGGAATCAAACCCGGGACCCTTCAGTCCGCAGACCGACGCTCTACCACTGAGCCAAACCGGCTTTGGCAATCTGCACAAATAGTTTTATAGGATTAGTAGAGTGGATGTTTCATCCCATGTAAGCATAGTCTGAATGTGCCTGTTCACATTCACTTCTACAGTTGAAGGTAGCATTTTCCATAGAAAGATTTAAAACCATATGAAAAAATTTCTCATAACAAAAAAATATTACCAAAAAAAAAAAGAAAAAAAAGAGCACAACTGGTCATTGTAGTCTGAATTAGTAAAAAATGAAACAAGAGCCACTCATTTTCTCCTGACCAGTTGCAGTTTTTGGAATGCTTAGAATTCCAGGGGGAAAAAAATTTGTGGAAATTAAAAAAAAAATCTGAATGATTCAAGCCCACCCAGAGACCAAACAATCGAATGAAAGTAATTTTAGTTAATGACAGCATATCATTAATTGTAACGAAAAATGTATCATGCTCATAAAAAATAAAATTAAATTCATCAAATAAAAGTTTTTTAAAAAATGTATTCATGGCTAATAAAATAGAGAAACCCTATATCTCCCACCTCTTGACACCTTCTTGGGGATGACATTACTCAGTCCTGAGTCATTGGAAAGTTCCTTTTCACTGTCCCTGTAATACTGTCAGTCCTTCAGGTTGTCAGATGTGAAAGGCATAGGCTGAGGCAAGGATGGAGAGTGAGACAGACTTATGGAGGGGCATTTAAAAAAGCAAAACAATTTTTTTATAGAAAACAATAAAAAATAATGTGCTTTGAGACACTAAGCTTGTTGTTCAGCCCAGATCTAGTTTTTTATAAGCAAAGACAGGTCTGGGGGCCAGAGGATCATTGTTGCAGCTTTTCACAGAGGTTTGTGGACATCATGCTAAAATAGAGGTTGGGCCCTAGCCAGTTTGGCTCAGTGGATAGAGCATTGGCCTGCAGACTAAAGGGTCCCGGGTATGATTCTGGTCAAGGGCACATGCCCAGGTTGTGAGCTCAGTCTCCAGGAGGGGCCATGTCGGAGGCAGCTGATCAAGGATTCTCTCTCATCATTGATATATCTATCTTTCCTTCTCTCTTCCTCGCTGAAATTAATAAAAATTAAAAATTATAAAAAATAAAATAAGTAGCCCAGCTGGCGTGGCTCAGTGGTTGAGTGTTGACCTGTGAACCAGGAAGTCACGGTTTGATTCCGGGTCAGGTCGCATGCCTGGATTGTGGGCTTCATCCCCAGTGTGGGATGTGCAAGAGACAGCCAATCAATGATTCTCTATCATTGATGTTTCTCTCTCTCTCTGTCTCCCTTCCTCTCTGAAATCAATGGACATATGTTTAAAAAATAAAAAAATAAATAAAAAAATACGTAAAATAGAGGTTGGGTTTCCTGAGGTATAGAGGGGAGACACCGTGCCTGCTTATCTTAGATCATGACAGAGGAAGCTAATGGTTATGTGGGTTCCAGAGTAAGATCTATGAGGGGTATGTGATTTGTTTTGGTTATCATACATAGCACAGTAGCAAACACCATTAATCTAAGTGTGGTCAGTAGAATCAGAAAAGATGCAAAAGTTCAAGCTGATATCCTCTATGCCAGTGGTTCTCAACCTTTCTAATGCCGCGACCCTTTAATATAGTTCCTCATGTTGTGGTGACCCCCAACTATAAAATGATTTTTGTTGCTACTTCAACTAACGTAAATATCTGTTTTCCGATGGTCTTAGGCTCTATGCTCTTGCACCTGTCTACAGCATTAACTTATAAAACTCAGCTTTAAAAAGTCAGGCATCGGCCCTGGCTCAGTTCATCTGTGCACTGAAAGATCGGGTGCATGGAAGAGGCAGTTGATGAATATTTGATTGATGTCTTGCTCTCACATTGATGTTTTTCTCTCTCTAAAACTCAATTAAAAAATCTTAAAAAAAAAAAAAAAAGTCAGGCATTGTCTTAGTGACCTCGTCCAGCACCCTTGTCCCTGCACTGGGCCCTGGTGCTGTGGTGTGGCCTGGCGGGCCAGGTGGGAGGGGCGGGCGGAGGAAGTCTGATGAGAAGGAAGAGGCTGGCCAGGAAGCCTTCTTGCAGACAAAGGTTGACAACCCGGGCATGTGCCCTTGACCAGGAATTGAACCACGACCTCCTGGTTCATAGATCCACATTCAATCACTGAGCCACACCAACCAGACTGTACAGTTCTTAGTTTTCAGTTTTGTCTGTTTATCTCTGAAAAGAAATCTTGGTATGTTCTGCTTCTTTATGTTTTCATCTTCAGAACTGGGGAAAATTTTTAGAGTTTTGTGTTAGATGTCCATCTGTCACGTGTTCTAGAGACAAGCGTCCCCTTAGCTGAGAGGGGCAGCGGGAGGACAGGTTTGCAGGGTGAAGAAAAGTGAGGGAACACCCGGGCCTTGCGGGGGCCTGGCCTCCCCCAGATAAGCCCACTCTGCTGCCACTGATTTTTAAAAAAATATATATTTTATTGATTTTTTACAGAGAGGAAGGGAGAGAGATAGAGAGCCAGAAACGTTGATGAGAGAGTAACATCGACCAGCTGCCTCTTGCACACCCCCTACTAGGGATGTGCCCGCAACCAAGGTACATGCCCCTGACCGGAATCGAACCCGGGACCTTTCAGTCCGCAGACGGACACTCTACCACTGAGCCAAACCGGCTTTGGCTACTGTCACTGATTTTGAAAGAACTGCTCTTGGGGCCTTCTGTGCCCCCCTGGGTGTGGCTGGAGTGGGACAAGGGTCCTGGGAGCGCCATCCTCTTCCATCCCAATTCCAGTCTCCCAGGACCTTGACTGAAGGCTGCAGGTGCTCATTGCCCATAGAGGGTACTCAGGCCTTACCAGGGTGACTCAAATGCATGGGATGACACCACTCCTTAAACCTGAGATGGAGCCCCGCACTTCACCAGGCAGAGTTTGGCGCCTCACAGACGGTTCAGTTCCCACCTCCTGGATAATCGTGTCATTGATTTCTCCACAGATATGAACAGGACCTTCCCGGACAACGTGAAGTTCCGCAGGAGCGCGGATCCCTGCTTACAGAAGACCCTGTACAACGTGCTCTTGGCTTACGGGCACCACAACCAAGGTGTGGGGTACTGCCAGGTAAGCCCCAAGAAGGCGGAAAGGATCGGCACCCCACAGACGTACAGCAGCGATACTCTCGGGTCTCTGTGAAGTAGTCTTTGTCAGTCTAGTTCAAAACTCCCTAAGTCGGCCCTAACCGGTTTGGCTCAGTGGATATAGAGCGTCGGCCTGCGGACTCAACGGTCCCAGGTTCGATTCTGGTCAAGGGCATGTACCTTGGCTGCGAGCACATCCCCGGTGCAGGGGGTGTGCAAGAGGCAGCTGATCAATGTTTCCTCTCTCACCGATGTTTCTAACTCTCTATCCCTCTCGCTTCCTCTCTGTAAAAAATCAATAAAATATATATTAAAAAAAAAAACACAAAAAACTCCCAAAGTCATAGCGCCTGCACAAGCGGTGACTTCAAACATTTCCCAGTTACCAAAGCAGTGAGACCCCTGAGTAATGATTTCTTTTGGTGTCAGACGGCCGTGAGAGGGGGTGAAGGTGGGAAACAGCTAGGAAGTAACTTAAGGGAACACAAGGCTGTGTTTTCTAGAAATGAAGGGGACAAACAGCACCTTATTGCCTCAGAGTGCAGTGTGCGTGTGCGTGTGCGTGTGTGTGTGCGTGCGTGCGTACGTGCGTGCATGCGTGTGTGTGTGTTGGAGGGTGGGGGTGAGGGGTGTTCCTTTGACATTATTTTTGGAGGTCAGTCTTCCCTGCAATTAAAGGTAACAGTATGCCTCATCGCCTGCCACTTTGCCATCTTGTTTTGGATTTGCTGCATGAAGCACACGTGAGGTGGGAAAAAAACTTATTTCTCCCTGAGCAGTTCCGGCTGGAGTGCATCAAGGGACCCTCTCATTCACAGCAGGGAAAGCAAGAAGCCCTGCGTGAGGAGCAGCTGTGGCGGTGCCCTCTGTGGCTGCTGCATGTGATTCGGGGCCACACTGCCTTTGAGATGGGCCAGTTCTGTCTTTGAGCTTGCTGAAGGCCTGTGAGGCCTGCGCTGCCATTGGCAGGAGCTGCCCACTTCCTGTTACCGGGAATGCTGCTTGTTGCCATGGCTACAAGCAGAAGCCCAGGGCTGTCATGGGAAGAGTGTGGCTCTCCCTGCTTCTAAGGTTGCATGCTTCTCATGCTCCTAGAGCCTGAGGCTCATCTGTAGGCTTCTTGAGAGGAAGTGAGTAAGCCCATCATTGTTGTTTTTTAATATATATATATATATATATATATATATATATATATATATATATTTCAGAGAGGAAGGGAGAGGAAGAGAGAGATAGAAACATCAATGATGAGAGAGAATCAGTCATTGGCTGCCACCTGCACGGCCCTCACCAGGATGGAGCCCAAAACCCAGACATGTGCCCCGACCCGGAATCGAACCTTGACCTCCTGTATCATAGGTCGACACTCAACCACTGAGCCACGTCGGCCAGGCCAAACCCATCTTGATGGGACATATACATCTAACAGTCACGGTCCAGGGCTCCAGAGCGGGTCATACAGGCCATTTGGGTCTTTCCTAAGGTTTGAACAAATGGCTTGTGCAGCGGGGGTTGCTTTGCAATTTCATTCCTGTATAGTCAGCATGTGGCGCGGCTCTGGGCTCAAAGGAGAAATGGGAGAAAGAGTAAGGCAGATCCTTTTCAAAAGAGGCATCATAGTTACTCCTCATATTCACCTGAATAATTCATCATTGTGTGTTCATATTGCCCTGTTGCCTGGAGGCAGTGCCTTCAAGTAGATGGAGCTGGGATGGGCCCATTCTTCCAGACAGAATTCCTGCCATTCTCAGCATTTATTACTATCATTAACTTGTTCTGAAACAAGGACTCCACCTGCCTTTTGGAGAAGGGAAGCAGGGAGCTGATAAATTGTCCTGAGAGTATTCTAGGTACAGTTCTTGTGAATTTTTTAAATGGCTTTAAAAAATAAGCCACACAATTTTAAATATTAGCATGATGTCAAAACTTTATTGGCTTTTAGCCAAAACCAGTTTGGCTCAGTGGATAGAGTGTCGGTCTGCGGACTGAAAGGTCCCCGGTTCGATTCCGATCAAGGGCATGTACATTGGTTGTGGGCACATCCCCAGTGGGGGGTGTGCAAGAAGCAGCTGTTTCTCTCTCATCGATGTTTCTAACTCTCTGTCCCTCTTCCTTCCTCTCTGTAAAAAAAAAATCAATAAAATATATATTTTTAAAAAACACTTTATTGGCTTTTCAAATATATGTTGTCTTTGGAATATAGACACATATAGATATGCATACACATACACACATACACATAGATACACACATGCATGTTGTATTAGCTTCCTGGGGCTGCCATGAAATGCACTGTAAGATGAGAGGTGTGAACAACAGGAATCGTCACTCTGTTCTGGAGTTCGAAGTCTGAGATTGAGGTGTATGGATGGCTGGTCCCAGGCTTCCCCCAGCTGCTGGTCTCAGGCAATCCTTGGCTTTTAAGCACCTCACCAAGTCTCTGCCTTCTTGCTCACATGGTGTTCTCCCGGCCTGGTGTCTCCGTGTCCATATTTATCTTGTTGGTTGACAAAAGTTGGATTTCCCCCTTATTATTAGAGAAATGCATGCTTATTTTAGAAAATACAGGCAAGCCAAAGAGAAAATAGGAATTCTGAAACCACGTCACCCAAAGATGACATAACTCACTGTTGTTAAGCGCCCACCACCCTTGGTCTTCCCCCATCTAGCTGCTTCTCTCAGATAAGAGAGTCACATACGTCAAGTGTTTCAGCAAATCTGCCCTTTGGCCATGAATTTCCCCAAACAGCCTCGGTCACAAGAATCTCTTTCAACATTCCTGTGCATCAGACTATGTTCCTTATGGACTTTATGAAATATGGCTATTAGGGTAGTGTTCCCTCTGATATAGCATTTCATGCTATTATTATTATTATTTATTTTTTTAAAATCAATTTTAAGTTGCCTTCATAAGGTTGAAGAATTTTCTAAAGCAGTATTCAGAAGAATTTATTTTAATCATTTTCTTTTTCTTCCTTTTCTTAAATTAAATGCACCAGATGTCAGATCTTTAGTATCTCCAAAGTTGCACTAAAAGGTCACTCTAGAATTGTGCAAGTTTTAGGGAAAAGCAAGGGAAATGGGAAGTTAGTATTTAGCAGCCCAACGATTACAGAATCTTATGATGTTTACATGCTCAACGTGGATTTCTGTGTCTCATTTTTCTAATTTCAGGGAATGAATTTTATAGCAGGATATCTGATTCTTATCACAAAGAACGAAGAAGAATCCTTTTGGCTATTAGATGCTCTTGTTGGAAGAATATTACCTGGTATGTTGAAAATCCATACTGCATGCCTTTCACTGTCTTGTTTCTGGTATTATCGAAATGATTCAGCTGGCAAGTCAAGATTTAATGAAAATATAACCGTGTTGTTTGGGGATTGAGGTTTAAAATACTTTGGCAGTGAAGTTAGAGAGAAGAAATACGTTTCAGACGATCCATTGTAGCTAGAGCAGCTGATCATTTCTGCATCTCAGACCTTGAATTTAGCTGAGACCGTGTGCTTAGCTCATCTGTTCCTTGTACCTTTTGTGTTGAGACTCGTTTGGCCTTGGTATGTCTTATTGATCAACAAGTCTGCGAGAAGTTCACTTGGTTACATGCATATATTTGTTACTGAGTTTGTGAACGGGTGTAAGAGTGAAATAATTGTCAGCTGTTATTACTGTTATTAAGGTGAGAATCAGTCTTGTCATACCTTTCCACCTTTCTATTAATTAATAAGTATTGTTTTAATTACTAAATCATTTATTTGTTGATAGTCTCCCTCTGATTTTGGTTATGTCCTGTATTGACTGTGAGATGCAGAGTAGGATCACTTTGGAAAGAGACCTGGCCAGAGCCATGCAGGTGGGATAGGGCTCAGTGGCGGGAATTGGTCACAGTGAGCCTCACTTTTGTCCTGAAAGACTAGCATAGTTGCGAAGCCCTCACGACTGGAAGGTTACAGGCTTCCCACAGTAGTGAGCCCTGGGTCGGTCTTGTTTTCTCTCTGCCTCTGAGTTCCCTTCCTGCTCCTCCCTTCCCTCATGCATGCCTCCCTGAGTCAGGCCAGACCCACCCAGGACAGCGTCCAGGGACTTCCCTGGAGAGTTGGCTCCCATGTCTCCATGTTGAAGACAATGAGCGGGGTGTGCACATAGCACATTTCAGTTTCCGTGCTAAACTGTGCCTGCATTCTCATTTAATCCTCAGAGCGGCTACCTCACATTGACCCAATTATTAAACCCATTTTAAAGAGGAGTACACTTAAGGCCTAGATCCCACAGCTGTCTGCAGCAGAGGCTGGGTTCAAATCCACGGCTTTGTGGCTCTAAGACCTTGCATGTACCTCATGGCAGAGTGAACCTGGATGGCACCGTTAAAAAAAAAAAAAAGGGGGGGGGGAGGATCTGGAAAGATAGAGGGAAATGGGGCCCTCCTCATGCTCTGGAGCTGCCATTAACAAGGGCTCGGGCGTGGGCATGCAGAGGCCAGGCTGGATGAAGCTGCCCACAAGGAGAGGAAAGGTGCAGAGGTCTTGAGTATGAGAAAAGAGCCGGAAGAGGCGAGGACTCCTTTAGTCCCAGCCTCGATATGAAGGCCTGAACTGCAGTCGTGGGGAAATGACGAGGAAGAGGGAGCCAAGACTTTCCAAATGAAATATCGACAGAGCGTTGTAACATATACATCGTTTGCTTCTGTTATGTCCTAAGACTGAATTACAAGGAATATGTATATCCAGGATCAATTCTGTTCTGGGAGTGTGGGAAACATCAGTGAACAAACCAGAAAAAGCCCTGCCTGGAGGAATTCCCATTGTAGTAAGAGGTCAAACACGGAGCGACAGCAACCACAATTCAACCCATAATAAATAGGTAAAATATGTGGTGTTGATATTCATACACACACATTTAGGGAGGACCCTCAAGACTGAACATTTACCTCAATAAGTGGAGGACAGGGAAAGACCAAAGGAAGAGGCTTGCAATTGATAGAGTTTATTAAATGTAAGGGAAACTCAAACTTACATGTGAGGCATATCTTCTGCAGCTGCAAGACAAAATGGCCCCTTGTGCCACTTGGCAGGTGCCAAAGAATTATATAGGGTAAAAGGGGGAATAGTGATGGGTACTTCAGTGCTGTCAGGTACAGGAAATTAATTTACATGCTTGACCAGGTCAGGACAATTACCTGTTCCAGGGACTAGCATGTGGCAGGAGGCAAGGGAGGGGTACTGATTTATATCAGAATGAACATTGATTACGATCAGAGAGCCTGTAAAGGGGATTTGCATAAAGCCACCTTCATTCTAGCCTGGGTCCAGCTCAAAGGACAGAGAGCAGTCATTTCTTGGAACAGTCTCTCCTCTATAGTTAATAAACAAAATTTAACTGAGTACATTTGATGATCTAATTGGCTTTATTAAATGATTCATGCATCAAGCATAACTCATCTAATAAGTAGAGATGCTATCAGGGGTTATACAAGACAGGCTTTTAGAGAAAGGAGGGTAGGACAAAGAAGTCAGCAAAAGAAAAGTGAAAGTTCATTAAAGGAAAGTAAGAGTTCAGGTAATGATGGCTTCTCATTAGCTAAGTTGTGATGTATCCATTGTCTGGGCTTGTTGCTGGGCTGGGGGAGAATCTGCTGGAGTATGAAAGTAGTCAAGTGTTGTGGTCTGTCATTGACTTTCTTCCTGTTGAGGTCTTCCTTTTTGGGGTAGTTGACCTCAAGTGATAAGGTGTAATAGCTCCCTCAGTAGGCCTTCCCACCTCCAATATAGTTGAGGTTTCCTTTAATTTTTGCAACAGAATATTAGCAGGTAATAAATGCTAACTTAGAAAAACATAAGGGCAAGACTCCAGATTGCTCCTAAAGTTGCAGTGTCATTACAGAGACTTATTTTTAAGTCCATGAAATGTCATTTCCTATCTTTGTTAGGTTCAGTCAGACTAAACTGCAGTGCCATCAAAAACAAAAAAATATATAAAAAAATAAACGTTAGGACTTTGAGAGAAAAAAGGGATTATTCTTGCCATTGCAGAGCTCTCCAAATGGCAAAGAGGCAGCTTGCATGTCATGTTATCTGAATTCTTATTGCACAAACTAGGTCATTTTAATGTCACAGTTATCCTGCTTTCACTTGTTTCTTTTTTAATTATAGAAAAAAATGCAGATATATTCTCTTTAAAAAGTTCAAAAATATGGTAGTGATTATAAGATAAAAAGTCACAGTCTTCCTTCACTAACACCCATTTCTCGCCTACGCAGAGAAAATTGATATCGTGTTATTATCAACCTGGTATATGTATTGCCAGCGTTCTTTCTATGTGTTTATATATAATGAAAGAGTGAAAATTAAAAACATAACAAACAACCAATAGAAAAGATGAACTGAGACAAAAGCTGGTTCTTTAGGAAAACTGATAAAATAGATAAACCTTTGGCAAGATTGGTAAAGAAAATAATGGATAAGGTATTTAGAAATGAAAAATCTGCTGTAATTTGAAAATCTATTAGTTTTACTACAAATAAATGAAGACAGATACTTTTGAGGAAAAGACAGTTTAACGAAGTTGAATTGAGAGAAAATAGAGCATCTGAATGGGCATATGAACAGACATACAAAAATCTCTTCACGTACATAAAATCTCATCAAATTGAAGGAACAGATAATTCTTATATGTTTTCTAACTCCTGAAGAAAATAGAAAATGATAACTACTCATTAATTTATGCTATAAAGCTGGTACAACCTTGTTGTCATGCAGGTGAATCTCACTGATGTGCACAGTTATACAAATTCTAATTTAAGTAATAATAAGTTAGCAACTTGAATCCAGGGATGGTGTTGGAGTATTATTTTTTATCTAAAGAGAGTTTATCCCAGGAATTCAAGGATGGCTTAATTATATGGAAGACTCAAGAGCAAAGCCAAGCTAATAAAGGCTTGAAAGAAGAATATGGGAGGTGGATGAGTGGGGAGAGAAGAATATTGGAGATTTATTATAATGTTACTAGAAGCCTGGTGCACAAAATTCATGCATGGGGGAAACGGAGGTATCCCTCAGCCCAGCCTGCACCCTCTCCAATCTTGGATCCCTCTCACAATTCAGGATTGCTGGCTTCCAACAGCTCGCCTGCTTGCCTGCCTGATTGCCCCTAACCACTTCTGCCTGCCAGCCTGATTACCCCCTAACCACTTCCCTGCTAGCCTGATTGATGCCTAATTGCTCCCCTGCTGGCCTGATTGCCCCAAACTGCCCTCCCCTGCTGGTCTGGTCTCCCCTAACTGTCTGCCCTGTATGCCTGGTCACCCCCACCTGCCTCCCTTGCCAGCCTGGTCACCCCTAACTGCCCTCTTCTGCTGGCCTGGTTGCCCCAAACTGTCCTCCCCTGCTGGCCATCTTGTCATGGCCATCTTGTGTCCACATTGGGGTGGCCATCTTTGACCACATGGGAGAATCCATCTTGTGTGTTGGAGTGATGGTCAGTTTGCATATTAGGCTTATATTATATAAGATAATAATTAAATTGTGTGATATAAGCGTATTGATATATACATAGAAAAGGGGCCAGAAGTCAACTGGTCCACTGATCTATTAATCTATTAGAATTTATGTGAGATGTATTAATTAATGGGGAAAAGAAAGACTATTTGAAATATCATTTGGTGACAGTTGACTATGGGGAAGAAGACAAAATTAGATCCTTATTTCTATTTCAGATGGATTCAGACTTGCGTGAAAAAGCAGATAGGCACTTTACAAAATAGGAAACCTGAATGGTCAACAAAGTTACGAAGAGATGACCAAGTTCTCCTGTGAGCAAGGAAATGCAAATTTAAACAGCACTGACGTAGGATGTCAAAGCCAGCATAGCCACCCGATGGCCATCACTTTTAGGCAAGTGACATCCCAGTTTCAGAGCAGTTGAAATGGGGTAAAAGCCAGTGTTAGAACCAAAGACAACATTGTGTTATGGACTTCTCACAGGGGACTCAGAGGCAGAGTACAAAGTCACGGGACTCGTGGTCTTGCGCACCCCGTGGTGGCCTCCTGCCCCGTTGTCAGAGCCTTCCTCAGGCACTTCCACCTCTAAAAGTTGTACAAAAGTTAAGTCACTCATATAAGGTTTACTTAAAGGACTTCCCTTTTACACTAGAATGCCTCTTATGGTCCCAAAGCAACAAAGCACTAGCAAACAATGCATGCTAAACTTGGTCTCCATACATCGACACCAGAATGCAGTCTCACGCAGACCTCCTGGGACCTCAAGCAGCCTCTT